TAATGCCTTGGATGCCTTGAGGCCTCCCGTTCTGCTATTGTCGAACACTTGGTCTACAGAATGTTCTGAGAACAGGAAATGACACTTCACATCACTGTACAACTGAACACCAGTGATGTCTCTGCCAACTATCTAACTATACTCTGAGCTTCATCCAAGGGAGTTTCATTCTTGTCTTAGACTCCCCACATCCCCAGGTGAGGAATGAAGATTAGGAGAGTGTTGAAAGTTATGTTGGAACCCATTGTAAAATAATTGACCTTCAGCAGCCTTTTTCCAGCTGGTGCCCTCCAAATCTTGCTGGGCTCCAGCTCTCATCATCCCCAGCCAACACGACCAGTGGTAAGGACTGATGGGGATTAAAGTCTAATTCATCTACAGAACCTCAGGCAGAGGAAGGCTGATCTACAGAACAGCATCACCAGACAACTGAACCTATGTGGATTATGTTGTCAACTGTGATATTGCTGTCAGTTCCTCCAGAATGCCAGACTATGGTTGTGAGGCCTAACTGTGGGCAGACGCTAGAGGGAAAAAGAGACCCTGATTTGGTTGACCAGAAAAACTGGGAGAACTATCATCCCCCAGCCCCTTGTAAATCAAGTAAAGGAGAATGTATGTAATCATTTTGGTATTATGCCTTAAGGGCAAAGAAGGAAGATAATCGCTTCCTTAATCAGCCATCTATGTAGCTCTAACCATACTCAGTCTTCCCTGAAGATTTTATTTTGCGATTGCAGGGTTTTTTTTTTAAAAAAAAAAAAACCCTAAGATGGTGAGCAGGAAATTGAAACTGTTATTATACAGGAAATAACAGCACTCTGTCAAAATCTACAGGGGAAAAACCTGTGTGTTCAAAGTTACTGTCGATATCAAACATATCTGATCAGATAACAAAAAAGAGCAAAATTACAAGAGTCATTACAATATCAATTCAGGGCAAAGTTCTGTTAAAAAATAAATGTGCTCACACAAAATGAATGGGACTTTAACACTCAGAATATCTGATACAAAAAGAGCCTATAATTATTTCATATATTGCTGGATCAATAGGCAGGAGATCCAGTTGCCTGTACAGAACTTTATTACCACACGTAACTACAGACACCCAAAAGCAACATGTAAATGTTTCCCTGGTGTTGCATGGTAGCATTTCAGCTAAAACACTCTTTGCTACATTTTGGAGAAGTTGTGGTTTCAAATACCTCCAGTTGTGGTGTTACGAGAATGAGAAGTACAATGGTTAGTGGATTTGATTGCTTGCATTATGATTAATAAAGCTCACCTGTCAACAGAAAGCCTCAGGAATGTTTTCATTCCAACGTCTACTTCACACTTCTTCTTCCTAAAAAAAAAGTATGACCTAATCAATAAAAAGCTATGTCGGATGACTGTAGCAATCCAGAATTATTAGGAAAGCAATTCCACCAAGCTCATTGTGTAGGAAGCCTCTTCCTTATACAGTGTTATGTACTGAACATTTTAGTCTGGCAGAGTGCTCTCTCAGCTGAGTCATACTTTTCTAAATTAATTTCTTCTATAAATATTTTAATATTATTTTGTTGTTCTGCCACATACAGTGCTGTGCGTGAGCACACGGCAACTTGGACTTTTGACTAGGCTCCGAAGCCTGTGATGTCTTTGTCTTTGTCTGGGAATGAATCTGCTAAGAGATTAAGACCCTTGCATGGAGAAGTCTAATCCGTACCAACCTGTCTTCTATGGAGGGAAACTGTGAAGATGCAAATTTGGATTGAGCTTGGCTTTCGGTGGAAACAGAGGAGCTATTCAGAGGTGTGGACACTTATCCATCGAAGCAAATTCTGCCCTTTGGATATATTGGAGATGTCCATGAATCCATTTTTGGTTCTTAATTTCTGCATTTCCTCACGCGCTCACTACCTTTCACCTGGTCAGCACAGTATGCAATCTTCTTTTCCTTATATTCTCACTGACAAAGGTATTGCCTCTTTGGCCCATAAGATAAAGTGACAGACAATTAACAGAATTCAAGACTTCTAACCCACCTTTCATACCACAGCGCTCTCGACATTTACAAATTTATATTTTAAAAATCAGAAAAACAACTTCCCCAAACCATCCTCCAGTTAATGAAGAGTGACAAATTAAAGTGTGTGTGTGTACATATTGTTGGGAATTCCACTCCACCCTTGCTGCAGATATGTGGGATTGTTACATGTCACATGACTGCTTACATTCCAGCACAGATTGCTGTGAGCGGAACATCCGCTCTGTATTGCTTTTGTTTTTTCACTCTCTGAGAAGAACGACAAGGAGAGAGGCCATGTTTTTCTTTGTCCTGATTTATGTATAATAAATGCGTAGTTTAGTATAGTATCCACGCCTCAAGCCTGATCTGTTGTGTGTTTACTCTGCTGAGTAACATGTGCTCTTGCACGCACAGCAGCTTGAGTCATGGACGCACGTCGGAGGAGGATGACTGATGGATCTCCGCAGCGGCAAGGATGAGAAGGGAGACGCTCTGGCTGGGGCCAAGCCAGCTGGCTATCCATCCCACGGTTCCGAAATCAAGGTCGTGGGCCCAGATCGAGGCTTTACACCGGAGTAGGACTGCTGTTGGCTGAAGCAGCGTTCTGGGAATTTACAAGATATGTGGATTGTACTTCGGCTGCGAAGGCGAGAGGCCTTTGAAGTCCGTGCCAGGCCGGCAAGATGCAACAGTCTGCTTGATGTAGGTGCCCCATTAAATATGATTAGCAGACCAGAGACCCATATTATTAGCTCATGTACCTAAAGGAATTTGGGCTTGTGTTTCTTTCCATGCCCAGACACATGCTGCAGGAGGCCATAGCTTTTGAGACTGAGGGGAGCATCACACTCTGTTTTTGGTATGCCATGAAGAGATGGCAAATGCCACTCAAGGGAGGAAAGTATTATTTAAAAAATCAGAGTCTAGGGCACTCCTTAGGTAGGTCTCTTCCCATAATCCTTATATGATCAATGAATTAGGGTACAATCTGAACCTCCCACTGCTGCAGGGACTCCGAGGAGTAACAGAGCTGCCACCACATCCATAGCCCCGCCATACATGGCAGCCATGACAGAAGGTCAGGCAGGATGACAGGGCCCAATTCCTGTGGCAATTCCAGGCCTGATGGTGACCTTCAAACACCTGTGAAACCAGCTCAGGGTTTCAGTTGGGGGTTTTCTGCTGGGTTCGTAGGCAAGGATCCTGCCAGCCAACCTCTACAGATCAGCCAGCAGAGCTCAGCAAAGAGACACCTCTTCTTGATCCAAACCTTCTGCAGTCCTGTATAAGGAGTTTTGGGAATTGCTCTGATGTTAACACAGTGTTTAATGAATGGGGGGGTGGATCTTGAGTTGGTTGAGAGACGTTCCTAAAATGGAGTAGATGAGATTAGACTAGATTGACCTGTATGCCTTGGGGACACCTAAAGTAGGTATTTTGGATCTCACCCAAGGGCTACCCTCAGAAACCAATGGGAATCAAATTATGTATAACTTGTTCCGTTGTTTCAGTGGGACTTTGCCATGCTTAGCTCTGACTGCAAAATAGCTTAAAACTTTAATTGGTTAATTAGTGATAGTCAATTTCAATTGGTATGGGTAAACATTAATCAGTCGGACTGCTAGTTAATGGCGTACTTGCGTATTTATTTAGACTATTTAGGTTCTGGTGTGAACCAAGCAAATAATTTAGATCAAGAATTTTTAGTTGATTTTATTGTTTGTAAAATTATATATCAGGGATAGCCAATGTTGTGCCTTCAAGATGTTGTTGGACTCCCATCATCCCTGGCCATTGGCCATGCTGGCTGGGGGTGATGGGTTCCAACAACTGCTGAAGGGCACCGCCTTGACAACCCCTGATAAATATGTCTGTCTTTCTGAATATGTGTATGTGTGTGTGTGTGTGTGTGTGTGTGAGAGAGAGAGAGAGAGAGAGAGAGAGAGAAGTGAGGTGTGTGTGTGTGTGTGTGTGTGTGTGTGTGTGTGTGTGGAATCCTGGATGTCCAAAATGTGAATGCTGACAACTGCAGACAAATTTTACAAATTTCTGAAAACACAAGGTTGAGTTTTCTGTATGCATCATTGCCAAGACTTCACCGTATCTGAAAAAAGAGCAAGTGCACATCTGTTTTCAGACATTCACAATTCTGGGGTTGTCAGCATTCACTTGTGAGTGTCAACATACAGCCATCACCATGATTGGAAGGAACTGCTAGGCTAAGCTGGCCTCACAGTTATCGCATTCCAGACTTTCATTGTAATATTAATATTACTATCCTAGAATTAATATAATATAACATGCATTTTCTCTTAGAGAGAGGATATTTATATACACACATAGTTAGATATGCAATATTACAATAACTGAGGAATCTCAAAAACTCTTAAAGAATCTCTGCAGTTCTGCTCTTTACTAGAGTCAGTAAAAAAAATGAAATTCTCTTTCCAGTCTAGATTGATGGCGGTAGAATGCCCCAAGCTCCAGCGTTCTGACTCCAGCCACCTTGCATGATAGATGTTAATGCCTTTCTTTAGCAATGCACCATATATAAATCTTGGTATTGTTGATGGGAGAAATAAAAGTTTTATTTGTTAATGAAATATGATGTAGCCCTTGCCGTGCTCTACTTAAACACCATCAAGAAATAGATCATGTTTTTTTTAGAAGTCAGGAGTAGCCCCAGGCTCTCTATAATTCTAATTGATGTAAATGAAGAAAATAATGAAAGCTTGTGTGTGCTGACCCTGTTATACAGGGTGGTTCACCTCAATTAATCAAAGAATGGTTAGAGAGGCTGAAAGCATCTGGCCAGAATAGAGAGTTCTTTACTTATGGATGCTCAATTGGCAGTGCTGGGTGATGAGATACTATGCCTAGATTTCAATTGGCAGGGTGGGAAGAATAGTATTATTATTGCATCATTGATGTACATGACATTTCCCCCCAAAAAAGGGAAAGAAAGGAGGGAAAGACAGGAAAGTGTGAAGATAGTGCAGTCGGTAGAGCATGAGACCCTTAATCTCAAGTCGTGGGTTTGAGCCCCACGTTGGGCAAAAGTTTCCTTCATTGCAGGGGGTTGGATCAGCTGACCCTTGTGGTTGGCGCTGTGGTCTAAACCACTGAGCCTCTTGGGCTTGCTGATCAGAAGGTCAGCGGTTCGAATCTCTGCGACGGGGTTAGCTCCTGTGCTCTGCCCAGCTCCTGCCAACCTAGAAGTTCAAAAGCACACCAGTGCAAGTAGGTAAATATATACCACTGCAGCGGGAAGGTAAACGGTGTTTCCGTGCGCTCTGGTTTCCGTCACGGTGTCCCGTTTCGCCAGAAGCAGTTTAGTCATGCTGGCCACATGACCCAGAAAGTTGTCTGTGGACAAACGCCAGCTTCCTCGGTCTGAAAGCGAGATGAGCGCTGCAACCCCATAGTTGCCTTTGACTGGACTTAACCGTCCAGGGGTCCTTTACCTTTTTCACCTTTTACAACCTGATGATTCTATCATCCCAAGGATCTTACGGTCCACATTTCAGTAGAGGGAGAGTCAACAGCAGGAAGCGAGAGAGGAAAAACAGAGGCAAAAATGATGGTGGAGGATATGCCGGAAAGCATCTACTCACAAGCCCTCTTCACGTGTTGCTTGTATAAAATGTGGTAAGCATAGTGAGGGGGCCTGCATGGTGTGTTCAGCCCCACCTGCAAGGCATGTGACCATGGTGGTCACATGGCAGCCACAATTTCTGAATCAGGAGACTTCGGTTCATGTGGCAGTTCCCTTCATGATATGGTTCCCCAACCTGGTGCATTCTAGATGTTTGGAGTACAGCTCCCATTGAGGCTTTCTTTCAAGCTAATTCCAATGTGGGGCAATTTGAAGGGAGGGGCAGATCTGGAGGGGGAAATCAACCTCCCTCCCTGCTGCAGTTAGGCTTGAAAAAAGACTTCTGTTGGCTCCAATATTTCCCCCAATAATATTTGGGACAGGTGATATTTCTGAAGAGTCCAGCTTTTTTGGGGGGGGTTACACTCCCCTCCCTTCAGCTGCACTCTGCAGGAAAAGCAAAACCGTTAGGGTTGAAGAAAGCTAAAACACCTTTTCCCTCAAGACAAACAGGTGGCCGGAATGGAGAGTGAATGCAGGCTTACATCACTGTGTAATTGTGGGGCAAGTCGGTGTGTAGATTTCCAAGTGTGTACCATGGCCCATGGATGTGGGTGGAGCTGTGGTCTAAACCACTGAGCCCAGGGCTTGCTGATCAGAAGGTCAGCGGTTCAAATCCCCGCGACGGGGTCAGCTCCCATTGCTCGGTCACAGCTCCTGCCAACCTAGCAGTTTGAAAGCACATCAAAGTGCAAGTAGATAAATAGGTACCACTCTGGCAGGAAGGTAAACAATGTTTCCGTGCGCTGCTCTGTTTCACCAGATGACCCGGAAGCTGTACACCAGCTCCCTCAGCCAGTAAAACGAGATTAGCGCTGCAACCCCAGAGTCGTTCGTGACTGGACCTAATGGTCAGGGGTCCCTTTACCTTTTTAACATGGCCCAAAAAGGTTGGCAACTTCTGGCAGAGAACCCTGGGATATGCAGTTTTCCCTAGGGCTACTGAAATGTCAATAGAAGCCACCATAGAGAGGTGGATAGAAAAATATCTCCTTTCCTTCCCTCTCTTGATTGCCAGCTGTTGCTGCTGAAGCACATGGGACTTTGGGGTGGGCACCATCTTGTCCTTTGCTGCAGGTAGCAAAATATCAGCCCTGGAAAGCCAGTATTAAAACTCCAATCAACATCATCCGGTGTCTGGCCAGTACCACAATATGCACACAGGTGACCTTTATTCCATCCCACAGCAAAAGAGCAGCACATCCCCTGCACATAGAAAAGTAAAATATCAGGGACAAAGGTAGACTAGGATCCTTTCTCTTGACATGTAGTTTTCCGTGCAGAGGGAATTGTACCATATTTGGAAACGGCATTTAAGGAACTATGTTTCAGGCTCCATGTCATTACACTTCAGAAACACCTGCGACAGCTCGCAGGTATATAGTATTTGAATTCAGGTGTGTTTCGTTGTATTTTTATCAAGCAGATTATCATGCAATTTCAATGCATGATCCAGGTCAAGTTTTAGTCAAAATTAAAATTATACATAGCAAAACGTACAAAATGAGTGGGAATACCATGCCAGTAAACATGCTAAGGAGTCTGTATTATTATTAAACGAATTTGTGTAGTAGAAATGTGTGTCAAATATACAAGCCCGCTTGTATCGAAGAAGAAAAGAAAAACTTATTCACTTCTGGTCTCTCTTCAACCAGAAACTCACTAGGTGGTCTTAGGCAAATTCCTGTCTATCAGCCTCTGCTCTCCATTTGCAACAAGGGCATAATATTTATGGCCTACATTACAGCGTTTGCAGAAGGCTATGGAAATAATGTATGGGATGGCCATTCTAAACTGCTATATAAATACTAAAGAGGTCACCCTGCTGGACTCTTCCCTGTGGCAATGCATAGGCTACGTCCTCCTGCTTCTGTGATTCTCCGCATATGAAGACATGATCAGTACAATAATTCCACTTGTGTGTGATATGGGAAGGATACAGCAGCAGCAGTCGAGCTAGCCTCTCGGGCACCCGGAGCGGTGCGCATGCCATGCGCCCAGGGGTGGGGTAATCTGCCTAGGGGGTGGAGCAATCGCGCCCAGGGGGTGTGATCCGGCTCGCCAGTGATCGCGCCCGGGGGGGGGGGTTGTCACACACACACACACCAGATGGCACCTGGGCAAACCGCCCCCACCGCCTCCCCTTCCTACGCCCCATAGGCATAGAAATCAGATTGTCCCATGGCATTATCAATTCATCTAAAAATGACAGAAAATACTCACACAGAAAATGATATTTGCTTTTCCAAAACCTTTGTTGTTTAGTCGTTTAGTCGTGTCTGACTCTTCGTGACCCCATGGACCAGAGCACGCCAGGCACTCCTGTCTTCCACCGCCTCCCGCAGTTTGGTCAAACTCATGTTTGTAGCTTCGAGAACACTGTCCAACCATCTCGTCCTCTGTCGTCCCCTTCTCCTTGTGCCCTCCATCTTTCCCAACATCAGGGTCTTTTCCAGGAAGTCTTCTCTTCTCATGAGGTGGCCAAAGTATTGGAGCCTCAGCTTCACGATCTGTCCTTCCAGTGAGCACTCAGGGCTGATTTCCTTAAGAATGGATACGTTTGATCTTCTTACAGTCCATGGGACTCTCAAGAGTCTCCTCCAGCACCATAATTCAAAAGCATCAATTCTTTGGCGATCAGCCTTCTTTATGGTCCAGCTCTCACTTCCATACATCACTACTGGGAAAACCATGGCTTTAATTATACGGACCTTTGTTGGCAAGGTGATGTCTCTGCTTTTTAAGATGCTGTCTAGGTTTGCCATCGCCTTTCTCCCAAGAAGCAAGCGTCTTTTAATTTCATGACTGCTGTCACCATCTGCAGTGATCATGGAGCCAAGAAAGTAAAATCTCTCACTGCCTCCATTTCTTCCCCTTCTATTTGCCAGGAGGTGATGGGCCCAGTGGCCATGATCTTCGTTTTTTGATGTTGAGCTTCAGACCATATTTTGCACTCTCCTCTTTCACCCTCATTAAAAGGTTCTTTAATTCCTCCTCACTTTCTGCCATCAAGGTTGTGTCATCCGCATATCTGAAGTTTTTGATATTTCTTCCGGCAATCTTAATTCCGGTTTGGGATTCATCCAGCCCAGCCTTTCGCATGATGAATTCTGCATATAAGTTAAATAAGCAGGGAGACAATATACAGCCTTGCCGTACTCCTTTCCAAGTTTTGAACCAATCAGTTGTTCCATATCGAGTTCTAACTGTAGCTTCTTGTCCCACATAGAGATTTCTCAGGAGACAGATGAGGTGATCAGGCACTCCCATTTCTTTAAGAACTTGCCATAGTTTGCTGTGGTCGACACAGTCAAAGGCTTTTGCATAGTCAATGAAGCAGAAGTAGATGTCTTTCTGGAACTCTCTAGCTTTCCCCATAATCCAGCGCATGTTTGCATTTTGGTCTCTGGTTCCTCTGCCTCTTCTAAATCCAGCTTGCACTTCTGGGAGTTCTCGGTCCACATACTGCTTAAGTCTGCCTTGTAGAATTTTAAGCATAACCTTCAAAACCTATCATGATATTATTATTTTTCCTGAGACCCAAATGACGCATGTGGCTTATTCATAAGATGCTTCCCTCCCCTAAAGGTTTGTTTTTATTGGAACAAAGAGGAGTCGTGGGAAGCTGTGGCCCAGAGCGAATGGCTGTAAGGTGTGGAGACCGTACTGCTGCTTGACTCCACATGACCTCTCCGGAAGCTGCTGTCCTATCTGTGAAGGGCAACATCTGAAGAAAGAATCATGAAGCTTAAGTGTGATTTGCACTTGGATCTTACACACACCAACCAGTGAAAACGTATCTTTTTCTCCACCAGTATTGGACTGAAATATCTCCTTCTTGTATTGGAAAGACATAATGATCATTTTCTAGTCCTAAAATTAGCATATGTAGGAGTTTCGCCAGCAGTTCTGTTGACTGACTACTAGCTTATGGTTTTGTTTATGTGGCAGGGTTTTGTTTTTGTTTTTTGCTCTCTTTTTTCTTTTTTCTTTTTTGCTTGAAATGTAGATGCTCTGGTAACATGTTACCTTTGCCACATCTGATATGTGTACTTTCCATAAAATGACCTTCATGCCACACCACTAACTAACAATGCTCTCAAGTAAAACTTGAAATCAAATGAAGGTTTGTAATAACACACACAGGGAGGTTATGTATACCGACTGCCGGGGTTTGGTTTGGTCTTTTCGACAGCGCTATTGCTTTGTTCTAAAAATGCAGCATTCATACATTTTAAACATACTTAAAATTGTTCTACAAATGTAGTCATTAAATTTTTCAGCAAGGTCACCATGTGGTCAGTGGCGATGTGGTAATTCTAGCTATGGACTGCCTGCAGATTGGATATACAATTTAAAACAAAAAACCTCGTGGAAAATTTACACCCATATGCTGCTCAT